CCTTCGGGTCCATAATATTTGAGGATACCTTTTTTAGGCAAGTTAGGCCACGGGAATCGCTCGGTTTAAGTGTTTGATCAGTGCGGACTGATGAAGGTACTGGGTAGAGAGAGATCGGAACGGTTTTGTGATGTGAAGACAACGACAACGACAACAACAACAACAACAACAACAACAACAACAACATTCAAGGGACACAACATACTACGCGTATGACTGCTGTGGCTATTTTACTGCACTGCTACTTCAGTTTAATGCTATGCACACTCGCTCCTCTTTTCGCCAGCATGGAAAAACACGAATAAGCACGACCATCGTATAAGCACGAGTATCGTCTGAGGTCCGAAGAAATAGAGCAGGGTCTGCAACGGCGAGGGTCTGCATATGAAGAAAATGGTACGCGGTCAATCGGCAATTAAAAAAAAAAAAAACTATGGTGAACGGAAAACCATGCATGCTACACAGGTAGACATACACGAAAGCCCGACTTCGGGTGTCACAGGGGATGACAACCACGCTCAAGTCGATGATGGTGATGACAAACGGTGGTAGGTTGAGGATGTGAGAGTCGCATATGCACAATAAGGGCGCCAAGTTGTGAACAGAGGTTCCGACGCATGGATAGGGTGCGACGTGACGGAATTCGAACGTCTTGTACTTTCGGACATCTTGTAGTTTCAAGCACGTTTCACCTTGATCAAATATTTAAACTTTGTTCCAAGGACTTTTTTTTTCTTTCTTAATATGACACAACGAATCCATCTCTATCATAGAAAAGAGTCTGAGACAGATTAGCATTTTTTTTTTTTTTCTTCACTTCAACTCAGCGCTCACAGCACTATTATAGTGCCGTTTACTCCACCCCGTGGTCACACAGAAGAGCCCCTCTCTGCCCTCCCCTCCTGCGGTACTTTGCCTTCGGTTTTAAATGCGAGAAGAGTTCAGCACTCTCTTTCCTCTGTGTACACACGAACTAGCGCTATCCACTAGGCCAGAAGCGGAAGCGAGAGAAAAACTCATTTTGCAAGAAAAGCTCGCTTACGCCGGGATTCGAACCCCTGACCTGACCTCTAGAGGGTTTCGAGGATACCAACTAGACCACCGGGGCATATGGTTGGGCAGGTGCGACTCAACATAAAAAAACGCGACAGCAAGGTTGCGACATGGCAGAATTCAGACGTCATCGGTCGAATAAACTGGTAATAAATGGAAGAAGAGACCACGAACATCCAACCGCATAATGTACAAGTGGCATGAAATAAAAAAGAAGGAAAGACCACGAACATTCAACCATTCACGGAACATTAGCCTACTGTTTTTTTTTTGTATTCACTTCAAATCAGCGTTCACAGCACTATTATAGTGCCGTTTACTCCAACCCGTGGTCACACAGAAGAGCAGTAGTGCTGACGACTTGGTCAAAAGCGGTGGTCTTCTTGTCGGGATACCATTTCTTGGAACATTCCTTGGGTAGGTGCAGCCCTGCACGGCAACCTAGCTTTTCACCGTACAGCAACCTAGCGTTCACGGTGCACAGCAACCTAGCCCTTACCCCCTCCTGCGTCGCGGCTTAGCCTAAACGGGACAGCTGCAACCTAGCTTTTTCACGGTGCAGCAACCTAGCGTTGCCGCGGCTTGCCGCGGCCTAGGCTTGCTTGGTACAGTTACCTAGCACTTTCCAATGCCATATTAATATGTTGGGATGGTCGGTTGGGTTGGGTTGGGGGTAGGGTTGATATATCCTAGCTTTGAGACGTGATAAAAAAACGTACAGCACGCGGATTCGAACCAGCAACCAGTAGTTTCGTAAGGAAGAGGTTCTTCCATCAGGGTATATTTTATTCGCTGTCCTCCCTACCCACCCGCCAGTGTATTCTCGGGCTATATACTCTAGCTCTGGTGGTGTAGCCAGGAAGTTTCCTATGGAAAATTCCCGTCAACCATTGCTTTCGACCAAGTCGCAAGAACTAGCCAATTCCCCCCCCCCAACT